TTTATTTTAATTAGTTTTTATAAAGAAATCATTAATAAATAATTTAGAAAAAACAACGTTAATTGTTATAAAACATTTTCTTTATTTAGAAAATGTTATATATAAAATTTTTTCTTAAAAAAAAATGAAAGCAAGGACCTTCTCAACTTATTTTTTGATTTATAATTTTCTCTTTTTTTATTTCATTCAACAAATTTTAATCATTCAATTTAATCATTAAATTAGTTTAAAACAAATATTTTTTTTGTTTCATACGAGGGCTGATATAAATTATTTATATTAGTAGGATACTACATACCCGGCGTTGACACTGGATTTGAAGGAAAATATAGTTTTTAGAAACAGAGCAGAACAGATTAAAATGATTTGATTTAGTGTGAAATGCAAACTTCATTTGAGATAAAAATAAGATTGATTTAAGAATGTAAAATATTGAATTAATCCCAAAATGGTCTTGATTTGAGCACGATTCTTACTTTCAAAATTCAAAACATTTCAGCCAAAAAATTTATTTGAAAAAAAACACATATTAAATATGGTGATATTATTTGTCAAAAACTCAAGTACTTTTTGCAAAAATATTCTTAACTAAATGAGAATTATATGTTAGTTTCCAGATTAATGTATTTTTGAGCAAGAGATTCTTTGCTCTTGTTGAGCGCACGATTTTGTAGTAATCGTCACTCGTTAGCCTATGACCATACAAAGTCCCTTTTCCACAAAACACGGAGAAAGGAAATTTTAGTTATTCTAGTAGAACACATTCCTTTTGCGAAACTATTTTTGTTCAAGGACTATTCGTTAATTTCGAATTCGTTTAAAATTTAATTTTTCCGACCGCCATCATGTCCAGAAACCAATATCAATTAGACAAACTTTATCTATGCTAGGACAGGGAGTGAATGCAATTCAAAAGATATATCGACTTCGATGTTACAAAGTTAGAAAACCTTATCCGAAAGTTAGTCTCAGTCATTCCTTGTTGATATTACCTATAATTCAAAAAGTCCTCATGTATTAGCATATCTACCTTTTATAGGATAGTGCGAAAAAGTTCTGTACAGGGATTATCAGTTAATTTCGAATTCGTTGACAATTTCAGTTTTCAGAACGCCATCATGTCCCGTTCCGGGACTCCCGAAAACCATATCAATTCGACAATGTTGAGACAGGGAATGAAAAAAAATATTTCGACTTTATAACGTTCGATGTTAGAAAGTTAGAGGGTCTTTATAGATATTACAAAGTTCCGGGAAGAGTACCTGTAATAGTCTTAAATGTGATCACGTTTTCCGAAACCTTCCCTTTGTTATTCTTTCGTCAACCTTTAAGTCCATTTGAGCTTCGACTATATAGGATATATTTACATTCTGTCATGGACATCTGTCAGTCTTTTAGTGTTTTCCTTGATTTCCAGACCCATTCCAATACATCATCAAATGAAGACTGATAATGTTGGTTGCAGTAAAGCTGGGATCTCAGTGCTTTCAAAGTAATTTACTTAAGTGAGAAAAGGTATAAGTAGTACGAAAGCATCTGGCCAAAATTGCGCTACTTTTACGTGATAAATCCATTGGTGCTTAAAGAAGAAGGTTGGCGTCGAAAACATGTCGAAGAGCTTTTAGTGACCACTGCCGTGTTGGCCTTATTTCACGGAGATACTTTTTAACCACTGTTTGAGCTGACTAGACGACTCACCACCGCCCCTTTGTGTTTCTTACTTCGCTCAAGTACTCGAGCTATCTAAACTCAGACCATAGTTACCTGTTGCTTAACTTCCGAGATGCAAAAACATCACTTTAACGTTTAAAAAAACGCAGATGGGATGGCCTCTGTTGAGTCGGCAACAGTTACTCTGGTGAATATATTATGAACAGAGTAAACCCTAAACATACACGTTCACCTCGAAGGGACCTCTCCAATAACCGGGACAAGACAATGTTCGAAACCCTTCCTTGCGGGCTACCGGTTCCCGTAGTACCAGATTATGTAGTTTTCTGCTTCGATCCCTCCCATGTCAAATAATTCCAAGGAGGTACTGGTAGCACCTATTTTCCCCGGGATTGCAATAAAACCATGATGGGGTCTTTTATCAAGGTTTCATGCCTTCGGGGGGAGATTGACCTGGATAGTAGGAACCCTGACCACATGCTGGTAATGCGAGAACAGTAGGCGTTGAGCCAATTCCTCCATTCTAATCTCATTTCTGCCACGACAACTCTTGTTTTGAGCACAAAGTTTTCTCTCACCGCCTATAGCAGAATAGGCGGTGGGCATGGTTCAAAGTAGCTTTATACGAACTACGATCTAATATCGTATGTTCTCGTTGTATTTAAAGTTGGAAAAATGTTTCCAGTGACTGCTAAGTTAGCATGACATTATGGTCTTTGATAGGACCTTTTTTTCCTCTTGTTGGTGTTGCTCAGAGGTAATTTACATGTCAGCCGTTACATTTAGTAGGGCAGCATTTTATCAGCTTTGATTATTTCTCCACTGAGTATCACTTAGCGAAGAAGACTATACAGAAACAGGATAATTGACCACTGACTGGCAAATTGTTTTGAAGACAGCCAACAAGGTTTCTATATCTATAACCCAACTGCTGCGGGCTATCGTTTTCAGGACCTTGTTTCTACTACGTATTCTGTATGTCATTACAGTAATTACAGCTCAGGAAATAACTCCTCCAATGACATCCCAAGTGAAACTGTTTAGTCAGCATGACATTATATTCCTTAACTGGGCGCAAATGTATTTGCATTTTAACATCTTTGAATATTTCTTTACTGGGTATCACTCATCGAAGGCGACAGCACAGGAGGAGCATAATTGACCTCTGGTCGGCAAATTGTTTGCAGGTAGTTAACAACCTAAATGGTGTCGGTTATCGCATGGTTGACAGAATTGAGTTCCAAAGTTTTGAAGTGGTTCACAGGCGGAATTTGAGCGCCAGAAACTATAACCGATATAAATTTAATATCAGCCCCCGTTTAAAAAATATTTAATGTTTTTATTTTTTAATTTACGTGTTAATAATTTTCTTTAAAAACTTTCAATTATTTTCTAACCAAATCACATCAATCATATTTATATATCACGCATCTTACACACTTAATAAACTTAAATAAATATTTTATAAAAAAAAAACACATACACACACATTTTAAACAATTACATTTTAAAATACATTTAACATGCATATAAACTACATATCAAAAAATATTAAAAATATATCACTACAACAAAAACATCTTACATTTATCTTAAAAAAACAACAAAAACTAAATACTAAAAAGAAAAAATATGCTGCTAGTGAATGTACTGAATGCTAAATACCAAAAAAAAAATTTCTAAAAAATAAATGCATTATTTTTTAATTTAATTTTATTTCAAATAATTTTTTAATTGTTTTTAAAAAAAATTTTATTAACTTTTTTTACAAAAAAAAATATATATAATACCTAAAGAAATTTAAAAAAAAAAACATTATTATAAACACTGTAAAACTACTACTAATTTTTTTAGCTTTCTTTTTCTTAATTGTAAAATTGTGTAAAATTTTTAAAATAAAAAAAATATATATAAATAGACTTTTTTATTAAAAAAAAAATCTATATTTTAAGTTTTTAAATTAAAATGTTAAGTTTAATTTTTGTTTATTTTTTTTTTCTTATAAAAAATAAAATATTTTTAATAAAAAAAGTGTACGTGATGAGTGGTATTGAAAAAAAATATATTTAAATTTTTATTGAAAAAAAAAAAAAAATTATTACTAAACAATTTATTAAAATTTTAAGTTTTTTTCTAAAAAAAAATATTAAGTTGTTTTTAATTTTTATGTAAATATTTATTATAATTGTTTTCTATTTTTTTATTAATTTTTTTTATAAACATAATAATATTTTCACTTAAATTGCATATTTTTTTATTATTTTTTTATAAAAATATATATTTTTTTAAATTTTTCTTAAAACATTTTAGATATTTAATTAATTATTTTCGTCTCTTTAAAAAAAAAGCTGTTTTCGTTTTAAATGCAGCTTTTTTATGAGTTTAAATATAAAACTTTAACAACAAATAACAAAAAAATAATAAAAAAATTTAAGTTTTTTTCTAAATTGGTAACTTTTGAGATGGTCCTTGTTGTACATTCGCTATTTTGAAGCCTTCTATTTTTTATTTAAATAATTTTAAGTTTTTTTAAATTTTTTATAATTTTTTTTTTTTTTTTTTTATTTTTTTTTTTTTTTTTTTGAAAAAAACTTTAATTTAAGCTTTTTTATTAAAGGAAATTTAAATTTGTTTTTATTTCGGTTTTAAAAATCCCGTTTCATAGAAATTTAAAAATAACAAAAAAATTTATAAATTAATTTTAAATTTTCTTTAATAATTTTATTTTCTTTTTAATTTTTTCTTAAATAAAAAATTTCCAAAAAAAATATAACGCGTTACGGTTATCGTTTTGCCTTAAAATTTAACAAAAAAAAAACCAACAAATTAATTTAAACAATTTTTATTAATAAAAAAAAAACTTGTGGACAAAAAACATAACATATAATAATAATTTCTACGATTGGTCTTCTTCTCTTCCATCATGTTCTTCTTAACGAATCAAAACTGAAACAAAAACCAAAAAAAATCTAATCTAACAAAATTCTTCCCGTAACAAAAATTTGTATAAATTTTTTGAAATCTTCTAAAAATCATCATCAAACAAATAAACAAAAAAGGACTTTGAGGTATTATTCATCAATATTTTGTTAAAAAAATCAAAAAAAAACTTTTTAATTAAATTTTAAGCAATTTTTGTTTTTATTAAAAAAACATAACAAACTACTTTGAAACTTTTTAAAAATCAGTTGTTTATTATACAAAATTAGTAGTTGATTTTTAGTTTTCTTACAAAAAAAAAAACAAAAATCTCTTAAAAAAGCTTTTTTATTTCAATTATTTAGAAAATTTTTATTTTAGTAAAATAATAAAATCAATTTGTTTTTAATTTTTTTATTTCAACAACTGGCTTTTTTACAAAAAAACTCAATTTAAACAAAAAGCAAAAAATTTGTTCTATTAGTTAATTGTTACTATTTCTTGTATCTAAATATTTTAATTTTGTTCAAAATCCAAAAATTTGCAAAAGAATTTCTATTTTTTTTTTTAGTTTTTATTAGCAGTATTCACAATCATTCTTGTTTTGTTATTATATTTTGAAAAAAAATGTTTAAAAAAATTTATACATGACTTTACAGAAACAGCTACAACAACCCAAACAAAAAAATTAATTAATTCAAATTAATATTTAACCACTCACCACCCACCACTACACATTCATGTCATCACTAACTTAATAACAAATGTTATTTTAATTTCAACTTTTTTTATTTTTTTATCTTTAATTTTTTGTTTTAAATTTTGTCAGTCTGAGAAGTTCAAAAATATCTACAATTGATATATTTAAACCGATTCGATTTTATTTTGTATCAAATAATAATTTTTAAATATTTTTGTAAATAGATGAATCGTTTGGATTTGACATCGATATTGTACTTACAAAAAATTCCCCTCCTCTACCTTATACATACACAGAGGGACAAAAAACGTTTTATACACGTTTGGTGTCAATTTGATACCAAGCTTGTGTTTATAATTTTTCAATAACATCCGTTATCAAAGTATGTACGGATGGTTGTCAAATCAACAACAAATGTTAAAAAAAATACACGACGTTATCAAATCAACAAAAAAAAATAATAATTAATACATAACTATGTCCGATCATAAACGCTGATTCGATCTACGAAAATTATAATCTTTTTATATTATATTTATTTATATAAGGTATTTTTTCGCAGTGAGAACGGCGTGTTATCGAAGTGACAACGGTATGTTGTCAAAACACAACGTTGCGTTGTCGAAATTACGAAAATGAATTTCCGAAATGATACAAAGCGTAATCAAAATGACAACAATACATTGTCAAAATTACAACGTTGGTTGTCAATATAATAACTGAGTATTATTTAATTTTTATACAAATCCGTTGTCTAAATATTAACAAACTTGGTAAGCTCATTTTTGATAACGGATTGTATCAATTTCAGTACTTTTCTACAGGATTTTTCCCTCTGTGTAAACTGTAAAAACAAATTATTTACTGAATCTGTAAAAAGTATTTTTGGCTGATGTAACCTTAAAGAATGCAAATTGGCTCAGAATCATTTTATAAGTCGATTAAGTCATGTCCGCCTATCTATCTGCATGTCTCTCATGAAAATCTTGTAATGAAACTACAATTTTGAAAAAAATTCAATAAAATATGACCCAAGGAAGAACCCTATCGATTTTTGTTGATATCGGTCCATTATTTCACCTAGCTCCCATACAACCGTACATCCTAGATTGGGATTTGGAGGTTATTATTATGCCAAATACACTAATATCTCTACACAATTATAATACGTTTTATATAACATAAATAATACAGCAAAATTTCGTAATAATTGGCCCCAGGCCCCTCAATGTCCCCTTCTAAAAATGGCTTATAAACTCTTGCATTTCGATAAAAATCGTTCCAACTAACTTTTATGTTAACAAAAATCCAAAAATCCTAGCCCCCATATATAGCCTCTTTTGGAAAATCAGTTTCTCAAACCAATTTTCCAAATCCATATTATGATTCAATAAAAAAATTTTGATAGCAAGTAACTAACAGACAATGATAGAACAGTATAAAGAGGCCAACGAAATGATGGTTTGTAAAAACTTTTGTAACCAATTTGACTCGATTTTAATGCATTTTTAGTTGCTGATATCGATTTTCCTTATCACCCACAATTTTCTAGGAATATGGTATTGAATATTTAGTTCATACATATATCAAGCACATTTAATATAAATATATTTACGTTTAAGGGTTAATATTGCTTTTTTTCGTTGTCGTTATAAATAGAGGTTTTCATTTCATATTTTTCTCAAATTTCATTTAAATCGGCTGAAACTAAATTTTGATTCGATGATTTGATAAAAATTCCACAATATTACATAATTTGATTTTGACCTTCACAGTTTATGGGTTCGATGGTTCGATTTTAATAAAAATTTTAAGTTTCCATGAATCATTGTGAGATTTCCTTGAATCTCACATATATTTGAAAAAAAAAAATCTAAAATTGGCTTAACAAAATGTTTAAAAGTTTGGAATTAGATATATTTCTTTTTTTCAGTAAATTTTTGCAGAACTTCTGTAAAATTATATAATTGAATATTTGGGACTCAAGTATACAGTAGGTTGTCCCGTCGAACACTTATTTAAAGAAATACCCATAACTTTAGCGACCCGGAAAATTTTAGAGTTATTAGTAAAATCATCTAAAAGGGACATTTTTAGTCATTATATATAACATTTTAAAGATATTACATATATTAAAACTAATACATATGCCCTAAAATATAAAATCAGCTATAGCCCTAGAAAATGTGGGCGGTAATATCATGGCCACGCCCATTTTATTTGCTGCTTTTGATTTAAGTGATTTGAGAATTCTTTTTCGATAACTGTTTAAAGCAGAAGTTTACTAAAATAAGCATTTAGTTAACTTAACAAACATTGACCACGCCCACTTCTATAAATTGTGAAAAATAGACTATAATGTTAAAAATAATTAACTATTATCATTAAAGTTTTAAATATTTTTATACATTAAACGGTTTTACTTAATTAGTAACAAAATAATAACGAAAAGTGAGCGAAATGTTTATTTGTGGGTGTGGTTATCATAAAAATTATATTCGATTATGGTATAAGTTTTAGTGCATTTAAAAAAAAAAAATAATTTATAAAATTGACTCGCATTTAAATACCCTACACCACTAGAGTGGGGAGAGTATTAAGCGTTTGTGCAGATATTTGTAACGGCTGTTGGCTGGCTGATCTATGTAAACCTTGCGCCCAAGGCACAGCCCGATATTTTGATAAAATTTATACCTATTGAAAATTATTGAAATCGCCCCATCATTTCACCTTGGCCCCATACAACCAGACCTCCCGAATTGTGCTTTTTATGCCATAACTATAAAAGAAGTAATAAAAGTAGCAACAACTAGAGTCCTCAAATTTTATGTGAAAATTTTAGACATCCATATGAACATTTGAGTACAAAATGGGCGGACTGGCTATAGTGGGCGTGGTACTTCCCATATAAAGAAAATATTAAATCAGTATATATGAGAAAATATTACATTTAGAGTCCTCAAATTTTGTCGAAACCTCTTTCGTGATCATATAAGTACTTAGGAAAAATAGGGGGTGTGGCAGCTCCCATATGAATTAAATACAAAAATCGTTTATCTCGGAAACTATTATAGCCAGAATCTTCAAATTTTGCACGAAAAGCTTTAACGTCATTGTGAACAATGAAAAAAATGGGCGGACTTTTATTAGGGGGCTTAGAACCGCCCATATGAATTAAATACATAAATTCGTTGAGAAACTATTAAAACTAAAATCCTAAAATTTTTGCACGAAAATTGGAGAATAAATTGTCGAACTAGCAATGGGGGCGTGTCGGCTCCCATATGAATTATGGTCCTTTATTTTGGTGAGGTATTAAAAAAAATGTTTTTCAATTTTTTTGAAATGGGTCTCAAAAATTCCGTAATTTTGAATCTATCTAGATTACTACATATAATCGGCACTGCTGATTGATTGATTTATTTTCTTATATAATTTAAAACTTTTTTATTTTGAATTTTCAGTTACGTATAATACACTCTAAACAACTTAACACTAAAACTAAACTTTTATTAGAAAAAAACTAAAACACTTAAAAAAACTCTTACCTTATTAAATATTTTTAGTTTTGCTTGTGTAGTTGAGTTTTACTGTCTAGCATCATACAAAAAAAAAATCTAAAAATATATAAAAAAATATATTTACATGAATAAAACAAAAACAAAAAAAACAAAAGTAGAATTGTAGTTAATTAATAAATTAAATAATTTATATAAAAAATATATTATAAAAAATTTGCTACAAAAAAATACTAAAATACACTTTAAACAAAAGTTGTTTATAAAAATAATAATAATTAAATTAAAAATACTTAACAAGCATGAAGTTGATTAAACATGTTGGCAAAATTTTAAATTAACTTTAAAAACAGCGTATTTGAAAGTAATACGTTTTAGTTAATAATTAAAAAAAAAAAAACAAACCCCGCTAGCAGAATTATTAAATATATTTATAATTTTTTCCATTCCCTTAACAAAAACACAAACAAAATTTAAAAAACTTAACCCTGCCCCCTTTTAAAACCCCAGCGGCTGATTTTATTTGCTTTTAAACGTTTAAAATATATAAAAAAATTTCAGTTTAAGGTTTAATTTTATTTAAAAAAAATATTTAAAAATAAAATAAATTTTAAATAATTTTATAAATTTTATAAATAAACAGAATTTCTTTAAATGTCTTTTTAAAAATAAAGAAAATTTTAAATAAATTACGTTTACGTTTTCTTTGATAAAACGTATTTAATTTTTCTATTTAATTAAGACCATCTCACAAGTGCTAATTAGAAGTTTTAAAATAATTTAATTAAAAATTTAAAATTTTTAAAAATCAGACTATTTTAAATAATTTATTCAGAATCCAAAAAAAAAAAATAATAATAAAAAATCTTAATTATTTTGCCTGCTTTGCATTTTACAAATTCTTTTTTTTCTTACAAACTCAAACTATCTTTTTTAATTTCTTTTAAAAAAATATTATTTCTTTAAAACAAAATTTTCTTTTTTTCTCAAAACTGCTTTTTTAAAAACAAACAATTAATAAAGCAACATTATTTAAAAAATAACAACAAATACAAAAATTAGCAACATCTTTAGCTGCATATAAAATATACGCTTATTTTTCTCTTTCACTTACTAACACACACTTTGAACTTTTTCCCCCACCTTATAATATTGAAATTAATTAGAAAGCTTTAAACCTTTAATAAGCTTTTTCAATACAAAATTCATTAACTATTCCAAATTAAACTTATATTTCAGTCTTAAATATTTAATGGCTTTTCTTGTAATTGCTTTGTATTTTATAAAAAAAAAAATACTTAAATACTATTAGTTATATTTAATTAAAACGCTTTAATTGTTGTCCTTTATTGTTTTTTATGTTATTTTGTTTATTATTTAGTATAATTTATTTTAATTTTGCATGCTCCATTTTTGTTTAGTTAAATAAAAAGTATTTTGGCACATTTTATTTAAATTGTAAGAAACAAAAAGTTGAAATTGTTTTTGAAAAACTAGTTTAAGTATTAATTGTATTATTTTATTTAAAGATTTTAAGAATTTAAAACAAATTTTTCAATTTTTACAGTTTTTCGTTCGTTTGGATCATATACGAAAGTGTTTTACACAAAAGGGTGGCATCTTCGTATTGGAGGAATATAGTAAGTAGATATTGTAGTTTAGAAATAACACAAGTTTATTAAATGGTTCCTTTTATAGAAATCGGAATCTATTACTTGAATATGCCAGAACTATTTCTGAAAAGCTCAGACTTAGTTTATATCTGATTATCGACTCTTCTTTAGATGTATTAATATAGTCATATAAATTACAGAAGAACCAAAATAAATCATAATCAGAAGGGAATCTTTAATAAAAAAAAAAACTTTTAGAAACACTTTTCCTAAAAGACTTCTTTACAAAAGCTTTTTATAGAAGCTATATAAGAACGATATTTATAAAAGTCTTTACAAAAGATTTGTTTAAAACAGCTTTTAATAAAAGTTTTCTTTTTCTTAATTTTTAACTAAATCTTTTTATAAAAAGCTTTCTTTATAAAAGCTTTCTTTAAAAATGTTTCATATTGAAGCTTCCTTTTATAAAAATTTTCTTTACAGACGCTTTTTGTAAAAGCTTTCTTTTTAAAAACTCTTAAACGTAGCTTTCATTAAATTTAATTTTTATTAAAACTTTCTTTACATATATGTAGTTTTATAACAGCATTGATTACAAAAATACTTTCTTTACAAAAGATTTTTGTCAAGCTTTCATTACAAAAGTTCTTCTTTACAAATTCTTTTTAAACAAGCTTTATTTACATAACCTTTTTATAAAATCTATTCTATACAAATGATCTTTATAAATAATCTTTACAAATTATCTTTATAGAAGATATCATTAAAAAGGCTTTTTATAAAAAGCATTATTTTCTTTTTATCAAAAATTTCTTTACAAAAGCTTTTTATAAAAGCTTTCTTTACAAAAGCTCGTTATAAAACCTTTTCATAAAAACATTCTCCCCACAATAACTTTTGATAAAAGCTTTCTATCCATAAAAGCTTTTTATAAAAAGTTTTCATTACACAAAGACTTTTTTATAAAATATTTCCTTAAAAAAGCTTTCACTAGAAAAGTCTTTAATAAAAACTTTCTTCACATAACCTTTTTATATTAATTTCGTTCTTTATAAATATTGTTATAGAAACTTTCAATCTTTTTATAAAAGCTTTATTAAAAAAACTTTCGTTATAAACACTTTTTATAAAAGCTTCGTTAACAAGCAACAAAAAAACTTATTATATTTTATTACGAAATATTTTATTCTTAACGAAAGGTTTCATTACAAAAGTTTTTCATAAAAGATTCTTTTGGTAAATGCAACAGCTCTTTACAGAATATTTTATAAAAAAGCTTTCCTTTCAGATTTTTATAAAAACTATAATTTCAATACATCTTTCTTTACAAGCCCTTTATAAAACTTTTTATAAAAGTTTTCTTTACAGAAGATTTTTCATTAAAAAAGCTTTCTTCATAAAAGAATTTTATAAAAGCTATTATCTCAACAAATCTTTCTTAACTTTTTATAAAAGCTTTCATTACAAGAGCTCTTTATAGAAGTTTTATTTTAAAGCATCCATTAAAAAAACCTTTATTAAATTTTTTTCAAAAAGCTTTAATTAGAGCTTTACTTACAAAAGATTTATTGAAGAAAGTTTCATTAAAAGAGGAATGTTTTTTTATAAAATCCTTCTCTAAAAGATTCGAAGATGTCCTCAAAATATATTTTTATGAAAATGTACTTTTATAAAAACATGTTTCCTTTCTTTTAAATAATATTTCTAAAAAATCATTTAATGCCAAAAGCTTTTCGTAGAAGATTCTTTTCATAAAAACTTTCTTTACAAAAGCTCTTTATTGAATATATCATTAAAAGTTCTTTTAACAAAAGCCTTATGTATAAAAGATTTATATAAAAACTACTATTTCAATAAAGCTTTTTTCAAAAAGCTCTTTATTAAACAAGCTATCTTAATAAACGATTTTTATACAATTTTTATTAAAAATTATGTGTTTTATATTTTTTTATAAAAGCTATTATTTCATAAAAGCTTTCTTTAAAAAAGCTCTATTAAATAAGTTTTATTTATAAAAGCTTTCTTTAAAAAAAGCATTCATTACAAAAAAGGTTTCTTTAATTTTTTTTAAAAAGCTTTTATAAAACAAGGGCTTTTTATAAAAACTTTGTTTACATTAATTCTTTAAACAAGCTTTTTATAAAACTTTCCATTACAAAAAAGCTTTACATACTTTACTGAAGCAAGTTTCCTTAAAAGAAGCTTTCTTTACAAATGTTTTTTATAAAATCCTTCTTCACAAAGCTTTTTCAATAAACATGCTTTCATTTTTATAAAAGCTTTCTACAAACATTTTGAATGAAATCTGTCTTTACAAATCTCTTTTTAAAGCTTTTTATAAAGGTTTTCTTTACTTAAGTTTTCACTAAAGGTTTTTTAAGGGGCAAAATCTCACACTAGCTATTTAACCTACCACTTAAGGTGGTGAATAGTTATTTTAACAAGAGCTTGTCAAGACAAGTCAATTTTCAATCCATAGATTACAAAGAAACTATCAGAATGCAAGTCCACAGGTGTCAATACATGGCAATGAACTTCTTCTCTAAAATTTTTATTAAGAGTCTACTTTTTTATTACAATCGGAGAGTAAAGTGACGACTGTATCCCCTCTCGCTTAGAAAAAGGACACTAAAGTGACGACTGTCTCCACTCCGGTTTACATAGAATACATTCGTGACAAAAGTCGAATTAGAACACACCAGGTGGTTAGACGTCAGTGAAAATGAATTTCATTTTCAGATGTATTGATTCTTTGTTGAGTCTTTAAAAAATTAGAAGGAGCTTTTTATAATTTTTTTTTCGAATGACCTGAAATCTAGGTTCAAACAAGTTACTGAAAAACATGGCCAGGCTTGTCGTTATAGTTCTTTCTTTTTAAAGCTCCTTTATATTACTTAAAGCCGTAAAAGAGTTTAAATTGGTTTTATATTAAAAAATGTCCTTATCTTCCTTTCAGATCCCAAAACTCGCCAACTCATACAACGAAAATATAAATCTACTATGGTAAGTGTAATCTGTTTCAATTAAAATTCCAAAAAACTATTAAAATTTTTGTTAAATACCAAAATTAAATTGTTAATGTTTTTATGCACGTTTAAACATGTTCATTCTTAAAAAATTTTAATCATATAAAACACGAACTTTTTTGCAAAATTTTAAATAAAAAAAAACAAAATTATAATTTCAAAAATTTTAAATTTATTATAAAACTTATTTTTAATTTTATATCTTTTTATGTGTGTGTGTAAACTTAACTTAACTGTGTGTGTATTAAACAAAACTAACTTTTTTTAAAAACAACACTTTCTCAACACTTAATCTAACATCCATATCATAAACTACACTGTAAAAAATAACCTCAAACTCAATACTACACTTGACATGGCCTTCTACACAAATAACTACTATATACTATTGCATTGTGTATATGTGTAAAAATAGGCTTCCGAGGCAGCCTTAAGTTTGCATCGCATGTTCAGCATCAAATTTGCCAAACGTTTAATGCAACATCCTGAATTTTATGGCAAAAAGGACTCTAATCATAATATACGTAAATCTCAAATATTTGAAGAAACGGAGTTTGTAAATACAAGTTCATCATCATCCTCAAGTGACAGTGATTGAATAATAAAATTTGAGTAAAACATTAAAAAAGGCCTTCTTTTCAAACAACATTTTTGATTTTTAATTTATTTTAAAACTAAAATACTTAAAACACTTATTAACAAATGTAATTATATGAAAATTTAATAAATTTTTTTTAAATAAAATTTATAACAATTTGCTGTTTAAAATAAATTGAAATAAAAAATGCATGATTTTTTTTCTAATCAATCTCTTTTGAATTGTATAAATATTTTATTATTCTTTTAAATAAACATTTATAATTTTTGTTAAATAAACAATTTATAAGTTCAAATCATATTCATCTTAGTTTAGTTGTATTAAAAAGTTAAAGAAAAGTCTTGGTTTTTATAATTTTTTTGAAAAAACTTTTTAGAAAACCTTAAGAAACTTGTCTATGTTTTGTATTTTTATATTTCTTAATAACTGTTTAAGTTATTGTTAATTTAAAGTTAATATTAATAACTATAATAATTAACATTTTTATATATTTTTTTAATAAAACTTAAGGCCGATCAAATATGTTATTCGGTATTATGTGTCTTCTCTTATGTGGCGGCTGGTCAAGATCAAAATCAAAAGAAAAATCCGGTGGTTATAACACCCCAAATACAAGATATTCATGCCCAACAAAAGCAACAACATGCTCAACAACATCATCCGCAACAACAACAACAGCAGCAGCAACATCAGTCACAACAACATCAACACCAAACAACTGCCTCATCTGCGGTTCATACTACTAAAACCTCTCATTTACCTTCACAACAACAAAATAATCATAAACATCAGACTATAACTATACGTCATACCCAGCCCATGCAAAAACCAACAATAACTACATCTACCGTTCAACCACAATCGAAATTAGTTCATACAAATGCTAAAACTCATACTACAGCTACCATGGCTACTTCTCAATCGCAAATGCAGCATCAGTATCATCCTCAGCAGCAACAACAACAGCAGCAGGCAACGCAACATCATTCGCCAAAACCTAAATCTCCCATACAACAGCCAACATCATCACATCCTCCCTTGGGTCCACGCTCTAGCTCAGGCAGCCAGACGGGCGGTCCCTTACCACAATTGCCACCTCGCATACCTTCACAGACTTCTACAGAAAGTTTGGCAACCTCACCTACTCCTTCCACTGGTTCGCAGGGTAGAGTTAGAGGTCCTCCACCTGGGCCACCGCCCGCCATACCTCCACGCACTGGTGCTATAGCCCGAAGTGGTTCGGTGCAACAGCCCACCATTACACAACAAAGAACATTTAAAAGACAAATCTCCGCTAACTCAACACCACCCCAATACACACCACAACCGCCACCAGCATTTGTTATACCCAAACGTCATACACCCATTTCAAGGGCATCGTCTGTGGCCACTTCAAGTCTCAGCGCTGCAAATACTGCCTATGCTCATCAGCATCACTCCACCAGCACAACAGCAGCTGCATCTGCTGCAGCAGCCTCCGCAGGCTCCTCATTGCCATCACCCTACAATACCCAACAGAAACGTCCCTCATATGGCAGTGTTAGCCTGAGTTCATCACAATCCTCTTCCTCACCCAATTCCAATGCCGGTAGCAGCTCTACCTCGCCTCAGGCCCACCGCAAACACTGACGAAGGAGTTCTTTTTTCAAGTTTAGCAGAGGCGAAAGTAAACACGATCATACGCCAGCCAATACAGCTGGTGGTGGCGGCGGTGGAGGCAAATCAGGTGATGAGCCCTATTCCAGAGAAGTTTGTCGCACCATGTGTATACCTTGGCTGTAGGGTTCGTGTTATAAATAAGTTTTAAGATAAACTAAATTTAAAAAAAAAAAATATTTCTAAATAAGCTTATAACAATAGAGTTCAAATGTGAAAAATAACATAAAAAAACATAACATTATACCATATCTTTAAAACAAATGGCTTAAAGTTCTATAAATAAATTTGTTAAAAAACATACCTACTAAACTTACTCTTGTAATAAAACAGCAGCAACACTTAAAATAAAAAACAATTAAAAAATGTTATTGAGAATAAAAAACTATTACTTTTTTTCTATAATTTAATTATTTAAACACTTTTCCAACAATTTAAAATTATTTAAAACACTTAAAAGCACAAAATATTTATTAATTTCTTCAGAAAACAAAAAACACACATGTTTACTTGTCAACAACTAAAAACAAACTCAACATAACAAAACAAAACAATCTCTCTCTATTACTAACTTACCACTCTCTTTTGTTTATTCACCTCTTTTGTTTATTTACATTCAACACAAGCATGGTTGCATTTTTTATTTACGTTCGTTTTATTAAACAGAGTTGCCCATAAACAAACAAAAGAAAAAACTAACAACTAACAAATTTGTCCTGAAAGCTTTAATTATACATAAATATTAGTTTAATTAAAATTTAAATAAACTAATCAACAGATTAATAAAGGAAAATATTAATAGAAAATATGTTTAAAAATTAAATGAATAAATATGTATGTGTATGAATAAATGTTGTATAAATGTTTTGATGTAATTTCCTATAATTATAATTACTAAATAATTAATCAAATTACAAGAAAAAAGAGAAAGAAAAATTATTGAAAATAAACTGCAATAAATATTTATATTAAAAACAAAAAAAAAAACAAAAAACTTAATAAATTTATGAAATTTAGTAATTTGTGGACACAAATAAACATATATATTAGCAAAACGTAATAAAAACCAAAATGGTAATTGAAGGCAATCTAGGTAGGGAATGTTTGTATAATTAAATCAATTTAAAAAAATAAATAAAATAATATTAGTAAAAATATAAACTATTAAAAAGTATTTCTTAAAAAAAACGAAATTTAATGTACATCTTTTGAAGGCTGAAATCAAACATTTACGAAATTTGTTAAAAGAGTATTTGGATAATCTCGATTCTGATCGGAAAATGGAAATATTGTTAGTTTAGCAAATTATTTACTTTTAGTCTTAAATAGAGACCAAAATGTACTTTTCTGAAGAACTAGGCAACGCTGAATCTGAATCAGAATTTCCTTTATTTCATCAAGATTTTTAAATATCGAGCAGTTTTTGTCATTATTTAAGATGTTCTAACAGCACGATGATACTTTTTTGATGGAAGTTCTTATATTATCTGAAAATTCAATCTATCGAAAGGTTTAACCATTTTTATATCTTCTTTGAGATCACTAAAATTTTCCATCAATTCAGTCATGATGATTACTGACTTACTCAGCTCTTAAGAGAAGAGCGATTACGTTGTGATCAAAAAATAATGTTTTTTTATAAATAATATAAAATAGACTGTAGATCACTTGTATTTTCAATTTAAACTGAATTTTTATGAAGATCATGCAATAGTCTGTAGTTCCTTAAATTATACTGCAAATTAAGTAACTATTCAAAATCTACGATCACTTCAGATTTCAATTAAAAATATAATTTTTATAATAAAAACCTAAAATTAACTGCACATCCTTAAATAATGCTCTAAACGCTCTATTAAAAATATATTTTTCAATGAAAAACCTAAAAACTAACTCACCAATTGAGAGAAGAGCGATCACTTTGTGATCTCTTTGTAAAAAAATTATTTTTTATTATGAATAATTTAAAGTCGGCTACAGATCCTCAAATAACTCTCCAATTGAAAAAATAGCGATAATCTTTGATCACTCATATTTTCCATCAAAAATAGATTTTTATGAAGATCGCGAAATCGGCTCTTTCATAAGTAATTATGAAAAATCTAAAATCGGTCATAAATTCTTAAGTAACGCTCGAATTGAGTTAATTTCTGTGATCACTTTTCTATAAAAATTGATTTTTATATAAAAAAAAAACTGCAATTTAATAAATATGCAAAATCGACGATCACTTAAATTTTTCATCAAAAAAGAATTTATTAAAAAATTTTCCAAATATAGATTTTTATTAGAAAAACCTAAATTCGGCTGTAGATCCTTAAATAGCACTTCAATTGAGAAAATAGCTATAATCTGTGATCACTTTAACTAAAATCTACGATCACTTCACTTTCATTAACAAAAAAAAAAAAAACATAAAATCGGCTGTAGAACCTTAAGCACTCTAATTGAGAAAATAGCTATAAGCTGTGATCACTTTAGCTAAAATCTGCGATCACTTCACTTTCCCATCAAAAAACAAAAAGCCAAATTTGCGATCACTACAATTTTTCACCAAAAACTGATTTTTTTATGAAAAACCAAAAATCGGCTGTAGATCCTTCATTACTTAAATTTTCCATCAAAAATTAGTTACACTTAAAATTTTATAAGAAAAACCTAAAAATGTAATTTTAAATCTTAAATGGGCTGTAGATCATTAAATTGCACTCTAATTGAGAAAATAAGTTTCCCATAAAAAAAAAATAACTTTCCCATAAAAAAAAACAAAACGCAAAATCTGCGATCAACAAAATTGTTCCTGAAAAACTAATTTTTTAATGAGAAAATAGCAGAAGTCTGCGATCACATAAATTTTTCATCATAAATGGATTTATTTATAAAAAACCTAAAATCGGCATTTGATCCTCTAATAACCCTGCAATTTAATAAATATGAAAAATCTGCGATCACTTAAATTTCCCATCAAAAATTAATTTCACTTAAAATTTTCTTCAAAATTATATTTTTATAAGAAAAATCTAAAATCGGCTTTAGATTAATGAATAATGTTCCATTTGGGAAAGTTTCCAAATGTGCGATCACTCTTATTTTCCATAAAAAATTGAATTTTGTTTGTAATAAAAAAATTGGTTGTAAATCCCTTAATAACACCTCGATTGGGTAAAATCTGTGATTATTAAATTTTCTACCAAAAATCGATTCTTTATGGAAATTGCAAAAACTCAGAAAACTTGCGAAAAAACCCAAATTCAGCGATCTTTGCAAAAATCGGCGATCATTTCTATTTTTCATCCACAATCTATGTTTTGTTGTAGTAGCAAAAAAAAGTGATCGCTTAAAGTGCATCTTATAATGTTTCAAATTTACGATCACTTCAATTTTCCATCAAACTCAAAATTTATATTATAAAGCTAAAATTGACACAAAATAGAGGAAATAGGAAAAATAAGTCTTGTTTCCATATGTATTCCTTTTTGGCCGCTCATCCGAAGTTTTTCCAACATTATTTCGATCTAAATTATTTCTGACAAAGTTCGATTTCAGCATTTTTAATTTTTTCAAAAATTGTAAAAAATAAACACAAAAAATTTGTAATAATACACTTAAGGGAAATTTTTATTTTAAAAGTCTGGCATCCTACGACAGTTGTTAGAAAAAACCTGGTGACGCTTTTTAAGCCAAAACATTGAATGAAACATAACACTGATCTTGGCCTATTTTATACGTAATTATTGGTATTTTAAATTGTACAATTTTAAAAGTTTTTCATATATCCAAAGAACTGTTATAATACAACAGACGCTAAGGCGGAAATGGCATTCGAAAACCTTAACAAATATAGTTCTAAAACTTTAAAAAAGAAAATCCTGCCAAAAAGACTTTTAAATTTCAATTTCCACTTGCACCCCCGCACTTAAGTGTAACCAAATGTAGTTATTAATCTGGTGTTTAAATGTATTTATTGCAAAAACAAACAAAAAATCTTAATAAAAATAACTAAAATTAATTGGAATTAGTACAATAACTTTATAAATAACATATAAAACAGATAAAGGACTTTTTTCTTTAACATTTAACATAACACATAATAATCATAATAACATACTTACATTTGAAATACAATAACTTTTGTAATAATTTTCATTACTTAAAATACATATAAAAATGTAAATTGTATTTTTTGGTTTAAAATAAATTTAATATAATTTTTTATTAATAATTTTATAATGTAAAATTCTTTAAATTGTTATTTTATGTAATTCAAACTTTTGTAAATTTTCATTTTTTGTTTTCAAAAGAAAATATTAAAAAACAACAAGGAAACTTTTCAATAAAATACAAAAATCAGGTATTGAAAAAGAAAACTAAAATATTAAAGATGTTTTTAATTGGAATTTTAGTAACTAAAGGTAAGATAAAACTTTATATCAAAAATACATTTTTATATAAAAAAACATAAAATCGGCCTGAAGCTCTAATTGCGAAAATTGTACAAATTTTCCATCAAGGGTTTATGTTTATAGAAAAACCTAAAATCGACTGTGGAGCCTAAAAAAGGTTTCTATTGTAAAAATAGCCAAAAACTGTTATAACAAAAATCTAAACTCGACTATAGATTCTTAATTGCTAAAATGGAGAAAATCTGCGTTCATTTATTAAAGTCGGCTGTAGATAATCAAATAATGGCCTATTAATGAAATTAACTAAAATCCATCAAAAATTTCTTTTTTAAGCTCACTTTCAAATAATACTTCGGTTAAACAAGGGTTAATCTCTAACATTTAAGCTATGAAATTAATAAGTTAGTGCATATTTTTAGGATGTTTCATATAGTAAATCATACAGTAAAGGTTCCACAAAACACAGATATTTTTATTGTTAAAAGTAGAGATCTGTTGTTATCCAAAGTTTTGTATATGAAAAGAGATAAATAGATAGATAGATAGATAGATAGATAGATAGATAGATAGATAGATAGATAGATAGATAGATAGATAGATAGATAGATAGATAAATAGATAGATAGATAGATAGATAGATAGATAGATAGATAGATAGATAGATAGATAGATAGATAGATAGATAGATAGATAGATAGATAGATAGATAGATAGATAGATAGATAGATAGATAGATAGATAGATAGATAGATAGATAGATAGATAGATAGATAGATAGATAGATAGATAGATAGATAGATAGATAGATAGATAGATAGATAGATAGATAGATAGATAGATAGATAGATAGATAGATAGATAGATAGATAGATAGATAGATAGATAGATAGATAGATAGATAGATAGATAGATAGATAGATAGATAGATAGATAGATAGATAGATAGATAGATAGATAGATAGATAGATAGATAGATAGATAGATAGATAGATAGATAGATAGATAGATAGATAGATAGATAGATAGATAGATAGATAGATAGATATAGATAGTGATTTAAAGTACTGAAAGTCCTGAAACTATGAAAAATAAATAAATGAAAAGCAAGTAAAAAATTATAGTCGGACGAGACCGACCATATAATACCCTATATCAGTTATAAAAATAAAATGTGATATTGTTTTCATAATAAAGCATTTAAGTTCAATTGTACCTTGCCTCAGATATACTTCATAAAATTATGGATATTTAGGTCATATTTTGAAATGGGGTAAGGGATATAGGGCTGGGGTCAAATGAGGCCCTATCATTATATAATTAATCAGGATCATCAATGCTAGTATATTACTTGGTTTTGAAGTTTTTGTCGAAATACGAGTATATTAAACATTATTATGAACTTAACCCCTATTCGGGAGGTTCAGTTGTATAGGGGCTAAATGAAATAATGGATTGATGTTAACCAATTTCAATAGGCTTCGTCTCTGGTACAATTGAAGATCATGTGCCAAATTTCATTGAATTGTCTTCAAAATTGCGACCTGTTGTTTGATTACAAGGTTTACAAGCCCTATTCGGGGGTTCAGATGTATGGGGGCTAGGTGAAAGATTGGACCGATCTTAACCATTTTCAATCGACTAAAGTGGTGTAGGATATAACAAATAAATGTGTATAGTCGGCCATGGACTACCATAAGCTACTTATGTTAAAAATTTCCATTCCTTTTTTTATAAAGTACTAAATGTTCTTGTTACCTCCATTCCAATTTTGATGACAAAAAAGTAATTTCCTGTAAAAGTGGTAAATATGGGCCTATCCATATAAATGTTGGTAGTGAGATTTACGTTTACATTATACAGTGGACGTCCAATAGTACGTATACTCTTTATTACGAATATCCAATAATACGAATGGCAAAATTGTTGCATTGTCTACTCTATAGTACGAATAAAGTCACAATTTTTCTGTTCGATAGTACGAATAACGCATTTTTTATAGGAATTTTGGTTTTATTTACGTATGAATGAAGTTTTTATTATGTTTTTATTTTATTATTTCGGTATCATTCACCTTAAGCTCAGTAATTTTGAAGTTTTTTTGTATTTATTACAAGTGTTTTGTATTTTTAAAAATCCTATACACACAATTTACTGCATGTATATTTACAAATCAACAATTATTTAGTGTTATTAATTTATTTTATTGGAATTTTGATGACCCAAGAGAAGAAATTAAATTGGATGATAACGCCAATGAGGAAAGTATTTTATTAGTTCCCGACAATAACTCTGCTGAGAACAATATTGAAGCCTCGAAAGCCGTAAGAATCATTTTACAATGTAATAAACATCGATGTTAAATGATGGATTTGTTAATAAGTAAAATGATATTTATATACATATGTATGTATGAACTGTTAATTTTGAAAGTAGTTTGACTCCACATTTCAAACAATGGGTTTAAGGATAACTATTCTAATTTTTAAGAGAAAATTATAAATTAGAGAATTGTGGTATATTCCATTCAAGTTTCTAATAAAAGTTTTATGTAATAACATTTTAATACATTTTAGAACACATATGTAAATTGCAAATTGTCTTTGGCTCACATCTTTTTAAAAACATTAAAATTTAAAACCTTCTACATATATCTCATTTCAACCATTGGACTCACGATACTTTCAAAATTTTATGCCTGTTTATGTACAAGAAATTTATTTAAAATAATACACATTTGTTATATTTTGTTCCGTTATGTAATTTTTCATGAAAAATAAAACAAAAATAAATAAAATCCAATATTTTATGTGTATTATTTGAATTTAAACATACAAAATGTGTTGTTCAATAATACGAATTTTTCGGTATTACGAAAGGGCCTGACACTATATAATTCGTACTAGTGGACGTCCACTGTAATTAAATAATACTAGTGTTTAAAAATGAATTATTGATTTTCAAAACTTTTTCTATCCACTATAGTGATGTAGGGTATAAAACGAAGTATTGTTCAAGGTTGTTTTTTGGCAGAACATTCTAAATTAGAATTTAGTTGT